AGAAAATATGAGATATTCTTTTTATTTTGTATTTTTCTATATATTATATAGGAAGTTTTAAAGATAAAAGATGTTTAAGATAATGAAATCAAACAAATAATTTTAATAATTTTCATATAAAAAAAGTGACATAAGTATAATATAGATACTTTAAGAAAATTATTATTAAGAATTATTTGCTTTTTTTAAATTAAAATCAAATAAGTAATATATTGTAAAATAATATAATAATATAAAAATTAAGAAAAATAAATTAAAATTAAATTAAAATAAATTAAAAATAAATTAAATAAAAACAATATTAAAATATTAATAAATAAGTTTTTAATGATATATAAATATCAAATCAAATAACAAAATCATAATATCTTGTTTTATATTAATTATACATATAAATTTTATTTTAATCACAATGAATCTGTAAATATTGAATCCATAATAGCAAATTTTGATTTAAAAAAAATTTTTTTTTTATAAGTTTATAAGTTTGTTCTTAGTATGTGAATGATTGCATTTTGCTTTCATTATTATAACAATCAAAAACAAAATATATTTCAAATATCCATTTGTTTTGTATCTATATTCTTAAATTATTGTGCCAATAATTTATATTCATTAATTTTTTAAAAATTAAAAAATTCTACTTAAATATATATATATACATAAAAATTTCCTATTACAATGAAAAAAAAACATTAAATAAAAAGATATTAAATAATGCCTATAGTAAAAAATCATTGAAATTTCTATTTTGTTTCAATATATCAAATTAAATAATCAAAATCTTGATATTTCTTTTATATTTTATCTCATATTTTTGTAATCTCTTTGAGCAAATATAATCTTAGGAACAAAAAAAAGATTTATTAAAAAAAAATCAATAATATCAATTAAAAATTTTTTCTTATAAAAAAAAAATTTCATTGTCATTTACCTAGGTGTGTTCTTCTGTCTGGAAAACTTGTCGCCGGAAAGTGGCTCCCATTGGGCGCGTTCCTCTTCTTTAAAACTATCCATTGGTGGAAGTAGTGCCTCTAACTCGGAAGAGCCAGAGGCATCACTATAGGATCCATTGCTTCTGGTCGCATATTGTGTCGCTCCAGTTGGTTCCTGTGGCGAACCTCCCGGAAGTTCTGGTGTTCTAGGTTTCCTTAGTTCCGTACCTTCTCCGTTGCCGGACGACACTGTTCTAGGGTTATTCGCGGGTGTTGTTGCCTCGAGAGATATCTTTGACGAATCCGTTTCGTCACATACCGGTTGTCCAGGTGACAATAGCCGACGTACATGAGCTTTTATCGCAGGATCTAAAGAAATGAATATCTTATTTAAATTGTGATTTTTTGTATTTAAAGATTGTATTTTGAGATAATAAGTATTTTTCTTTCTTTATTTTTTTTAATCTTTTTGGATTAAAATAAAAAATTCGAATATTTTGAAAAAATAGATTATTTTTTTTTCCTTTGAATTAGGATTATAACTGGAAGATAAATAGATATCTTGATTGAAATGAATTAAATGTAAAATAATGACATTTTCGAAAAGATTTAGAAACCTAAAACTTTCGGTAATTATTTACAAACAGATATCATCCGATGATGACTTTTTAATATATTATTAAGATCATTACCTTGAATAGTATTATGAAAATTTTATTTAGCGATTGTTGTTCGTTAAAAAGATATTAATAAAAACTTTTCTTGGAAAAAATTTAATTAAATCAGGTTGGTTTTATTATCACAATTGATGGCCGATCATTTTACAGAAATAAAAAAACTAGTCCAAATCCAATGCAAATCATTAAATCGGCAATTAAATGAATTTTTATTTAATTTTAATTTAAAATTAAATAGAAATTAAATTTAGAATTAATATAAATTAATTAATGTCAAATAAAAATTTATTTAATTTCTAATTTCATGATTTATATTGGATTTGAGTTAGGTTAATAATTTTTTAATAAACAACTGTCAGCGACTTCACAACACTATTCAATATGATAATCTTGATAATATATTAAAAAATCATCGAGATCAAGAAATGGTATTTTTTGCAGATATTTTAATATTTATTTTAATTTTTAATTTAATCATATATATGATTAAATTTTAATTATTAATTATTTGATAAATTAAAAAAAAATAACTAAAAAAAATATTTAATAATATATATTTTATTTTCAAATTTTATTTATTAATATAAACAGATGCTGCTATTATAATTTATATAATAACTTGTTATTATAATATTGTAATTAAAATATTATTAAAAAAAGATAAAGTATATTTTAAATTTTTTTAATTAGTTATAACCTTGATGTTTTGATAAGTAGATAAACTGATTTGAATAATAGATAAAAAATAAAAATTTTATATAAAAATTTTATTGTAAAGTTAATTATGGCTGTTAAAATAATGATCAAAATAACGTTCAATATTCAATAAATTGTATGTTTTTTAAATTTTATATATTTTGTCTATAACATTAAAATATTTTTGCTTGTTTATGTAAATTATTGACTTGTATTATATTGATGTGTATTAACACATTTCTTCTTAAATATATTTTATATATTTAAAATTATTTATCAACTTTTTTATTTGCTTATGAAGCAAGAATTATAATTATAATTAATTGTGACTTTTTATTATAATTAGAATAAATTTAAAAAGTAAATGCTTTGAATAAATTAATAATTTTTGAATAAAATAATATCCATAATAATACTTATTTAATATCTATTAGTGTTAATTTTTGAATATTTATATATTATTAATAAATATTTATAAATTAAATATTATCTTAATTAATTCTCATATATTAATTATTAATGTTTTCAACATATTAAATATATATATAAAAAATTTAAAAATTAAAAATAAAAAACTCGAATATCAAAAATATTTATTTCAAATTTAAAAAAAAGATACAAAAGATAAAGAAATAAAACTCAAATAAATATAAATCTTTTTTCCTCTATTTTTTTCTGTTGTATATTTTTTTTTTCTTCATAAGAACTATTATTTTTAATAATAAGAAAATGTGCAACCTCAGTAGACTTTGATGAAACTTCAAACTTCGGAGTCATGTTGATTTCGAAACCCTTGCAAACCATTTTTTAAACACAGTTTTTCTTTTCTTTCTTAAAGAACTTTTAAAGCTTTAGAAATTTCTACTTTAGTTTTAAAAAATTCATCTGAATCTATCAATCATGAAATCTTATATTTTATATAATTCTTTTGAAAATTGTTTTCGATTCCGATTTGCTGTTCACGAGTAAAATTAATAATTACAAAAATTTATTAATTCTAATCAATAGAAGCTGAAATTTTTAAAATAAATAAAAATACTTATTTTTATAACAAAATATTTGTAACTCAAAAATTAATGATATGTGGATGAAACATTTTGAAAATATTTTATAAATCATGGATTCCCAAACAATTTTAAAAGAGGTCATATTTTTATAAAATAAAAATATTTGTAATATTTGTAATTAATAATAATAATAATAATACTTGGTTAACCTTCACTCTTTTCATTTGATTAACTGTCATAAAATTATTTTTATCAATAGTACTTGGAATCGAAACTTTAATTTTTAACACGTATATATCTTAAATGGAAACTTAAAATATCGTAAAAAAAACACAAATATTTTTTTTCTATCTCACTTATATGCAATGTTTTTCTTTCTTATTTGTCACGATTAAAGCAAGCGAAATCAAGAAAGAACATACTCAACTCTCAACAATAATTTTCAAAATATTTAGCTCTTTGAATGACTTGTCTTGTGATAGTTGTTCGGGCACTATTGTATTTACATAAAAAATATCTATATATTTATATATATTATATTATATAATATATTTATATATATTATAAAGTAAAAATTTTTCAGCAAAATTCATATTTGATTCTATTGAATATTTTAGTTAGTTATAATAGTTATAATTTTTAATAATCTTTATGATTTTAACCTTATAAATTTTTTTAATTTTTACTAATTTGAAGAATTTCAGGGTCCCACATCGCTATAAAAAATAAAATATAAAAAAAATCACATTGCATCCATTCGATTCCTTAAAATACATAATTCATTTAAAATATGAAAAAACTCTGGAAAGTTTTGAAAGTCTTAACCGTTTTGAATGTCTTGAAAAAAATCTTAAGAATTGTGATAGCGCAATGAGTACTCAATATCTTTCTATTGTTTAATTACTTTAATTCATTGACGTAAAATATCTATTATAAGAAATTCAGAATAACTGAAATCCAGAAAATTATCATAATTATATTTAGTAATTATTTAAAAAACAATTACAATCACGTTCAATTTTAATGATTTTTGAATATGTTGTAGAAATGAACATTTTGAACAACTTTTTTCTATATATATAATCATTATTTATCTGTACTTTTCGAATTATTCTTTTCGAAAAAAAAATTACTATTATTACATTGAATTTCGAAAATATACATTTATATGTTCATGACAATATGTATCATTATATTATTATTATTTGATATTTCTATAAACATATCACAAAATTTTATTGTAATTTTATTATTATTGTAACTTAAGAATTTCAAAACATTATTATAACTTAAAAATTTCAAAAAAATTTATCAAAAGTTTTGAATTTCGAATTATGTTCAAAATGATTTAAATTTTTCATATAATATAAAAATAAATATAAATAAATTTGAAGCGATTCGAAGTATCTCAAATTTCACTATTATTTATGTTACTTTCGAAACCATTCTTAATCAATTCTTATTCATTTTTCTTATACAATAATTTACATTCATTAATTAAAATGGATATCTTTTTTTTCTTTTTGTTTCTTTATCTTCAAATTTACTTTAATTATTTTCACTTGAACAATATTCATCGCGTCTTCAATACATTTGCAATTTCCTGCGCGATCTTGTGCTAGTAGATTAAAAAAAAATCACCGTGGCAACATGGAACAGACAAGAAAACAAAGTTTCTCTTCACGGAAATTTATCGCTAGTGCGTGGAGAACTTCAAAGAGGCCGATCACCGATCCCAAAGCCATTGCCAAAGAAAACTTGCTATCCGGGTGGAAATGCGGCAGAGAAACTTCGATTCCCGCGGGATTGACTCGGCCGAGGACGCGATTTATGAGCGACAGAACTCGCCCTTAAATAATGTAGTTCTACGCCTACGTCTCGTCGCTGTTGTTCGACCAACGGTGGTTGCACCCGCCACACTGTTTCACATTTACTCTGCCCCACAACGAGAGCAACCATTCAACGGGTTTATGATCCGTTGTCAAGAAATGCAATATCTAGTTTATGTTTAGTCTGACTACTTCCAGAAGTACAAAGAGTACTCTGTGAGTGGAATTTGATGAATGTTTCTTGAATTACGTGTTTGTTAACTTATGTTCGAAGGAGCGAAGGAGGATATTGTTAAGTCGTCTTTGAAATAAAAATGGATTAAATGAAAAATAGAGAGAAGAGAGAAAATACAGATTGAAGACGCTAGAAATTTCTTATTTTTTATATTGAAATTAATTTTTCAAAGCCAAAAATTTTTTAGTTAAAAACAGTTTTGTTAAAATTTATATAAAAAATTATATTGAAAAATATTACAGAATACAATGACAAAAAAATATTAAATGATGATTTAAAATGAATATTTTTAAAATGATTTACATAATATAATTTGTATAATAAATAAAATTTGTATAATAAAATGATTTATTTAGAAAATTTGAAAACTTTTTTTATTAATTTTTTTTCAAAAAATCATAAATGTAATTTTCTATTCCTAAATCTTTATTATTTTACTTTAAAGAGTTTCTATTTTTCTTATCGCTTATAGGCTAGAAATTAATAAAAATAAATTGACTGCATCAAAATTCGATGAAAATTGTTTCAACTTCGAAATATATGGAATTCGAATTTGAAATACATAAAAACACATCATCTTTTATTATTAAGAAATAGTTAAATACAGATATTGCAAATATTTATTTATATTTATGATACAAATATTTATTTTTTTCCTATTAAAAATTCATAATTAGAAATGAAAATTGAATATTTACTAGTTTAAAAAAGAAATTATGCACTCTATATATATATAACTCTAAATAAAAAATTAATAATGACAATGATAAATGAAAAAATAATATTACTTTATTACCTCAGTATTTTTAAATATTTATTCCATTTGTTTGATATCTATTTAACAAAATAAATCGGAAATCCGATTTTAATTAATTTATTTAATTCTATTATTAATAAAACAATTATAAAAATAAATTATTATTAA